ATGGATGGATGGATGGATGGATGGATGGATGGATGGATGGATGGATGAAGAGTTCAGTCCCTAATACTGCTAAAAGCTAAAGGTTTATTAAAAAGGGTATTCCTAGATCAGATATTTTTTTAAATAATGCTTGTTTTTGTACACTGACATAATAAAATAAAAATGTGAAATAAATCTAACGTTTCTTGTGCCTTCAAGGCACAATGTCAACAATGCAATAGTAAAATGCAGCAGGCTTTGGAGATTAGGAAAACATTTGCAACCTTGACTTTATATTCCTCGGTTTGCAGGATAATTCACATCAAAGCACAATATTTTAACATTTTTTGCTTATTTTGTTCATAAAAAGTTAAATTCTTTAGCCCCCTTGGGAACCAATTTATAGAAACTGAGCTAAATGAGATAATCAGGGTAATGTTTATTCTGAAAATCATTACAGCATGGAGAAATTAAAGGCCACATCAAACTGTATTTGTAAAATGGACTGAGTCATCGTCATTTTTGTACTTTTTATGGTTCGTGGCTTTGACAAAGCCCGTTCCTCCAAAGATTTACCACGTTAAAGTCTGAACTGAGAGGAATCCTAGGCCAGAGGGCTGTGGATTACCTGCAGCAATTTGACTAATGCATCAGATATTTCATGAATAAAACACTTCAACACTGATAGCATCACACAAAAACCTTTTATCTTTCATTTCCAATTCAAAACTTTACCAATGCTGACTAAAAAAATAAAGATCTCACCATTAAATGATTTCATTTCAGCAACTCAAGCACAAAAAGTACAGGTTTATCATCATAACATGACAACACAACAGACACAAAGACCAGGAGTCCAGGCTCGGATCACAGGGCAAGCAGGGCCACTCAGAATCCAAAGCTGACAGAAATCAAAGAAATTGGTGCTTATCATGCTTTGACAGCAATCAGCACACACGTGGGAGATGAAGAGTGGCAGATTTCTGATGCCACTAACGGTTTCCTCTGGGGCAGAATTGTCCGATTTGCGTCAGCACCAGGAAAACATCATTACGAGGAGCAATTTCACCACTCTGACATCATCGATGTCCCAAAGAACCTCTTCATTTCAATCAGGCAAACTGTAATCATCAAACAGAATGTTGTACTGACTCAGAAATATATCTTATTGTAATTTATGCAGCCATTGCTGTGAGTAAATTACTACAGAGCAAGTGAGACACCAAAACTACCATGTTTAGTTTCACTTTTTGAAAAATATCCCAAAAGATACATAATTTTAAGCCAAAAATAATTGCAACTCTGTTCTATTTCAAAGTGTTTTTTAAAACTACAGAATTTGAGGAACCTCAGATGTTTGGCTCCCTTTAACCAGCAGAGTTCACACGCTTACCCGTGTAACGCACACATYAAAAATAAAACTTTTAAACTCAGGCGCTGGCAGTGTCTAATACTGTCCTAATGTTTAAACTGCCAAATCCTCCCTTAATTATCACCACCTGATCCTCGCTTGACCACAAGCTACACAAAGCAGCTCCTCAAACAGCCAGCCGTTATCGAAGGCTCCTAATGACCCTGTGAGCAGCCTTGCTGATGAGATTAGCGCAGGTGTCAGAGTTGTGGAGGGCAGAGCTGTAAACAACAGAGCACCTCCAAACTCCTCTCTGGGCATTCATTGATTCAGCGGCCGGGGTCTGGCGCTGAATTAATCTGCCAGCAAATGTGCAAGACGTATGCCTTCTGCTTTGCTCCYATCTGCAGATTGGGACCGTCGTGAATCCACTGGCTGACACTTGCGGCCCAGGAGGCGAGTATTTCAAAGCGCTGCAGAGATGAGAAGAGTGACAGAAGTGCAACGCTATGTGCTCACAGAGATGCAGCATAAATTGATCGTCTGAAAGAACTTAGTGAAATGCTAATGAAAAGGTTTCCGTATGAATCTGTGCAGCTCTGTGCGGACACTGGTCGACTGGTTTGGAGCGCTGCCATGAGGTCAAACAGGGTGAGCACGCCTGCACGGATAGCGCATCGCTGTGACGCTGCTGCATCACGTAGTTCTGTAGCTGTGRGTTTCTGCATGAAGAGACCTAAAACTGAGAGCATTGTGCATGACGTGCGCCACGACACGTCACTCTGTCTGCACAGCTCAGCTTCACGAGGACAGGAGGGGAACTAACACGACACGATTCCCTGGTGCTGATATCAGAGCTGCAGATTCATAATGTGGTCTTCTACCCCACAAATCTGTTGGTCCAGGCTGGCTTTTTATGTCCACATGCAATGAAGAATAACTTGTGACCTGTCAGAGTGAGCCACAGAGATGGAGGGCAAAAATCCTCCAGAAAAAACTCAGTGAAAACAAGAGGCTCCTTGAGGCTGAAAATGGTTTTGTTGTTATTGCGCATCTTTAAAGTTATGTGTTTTTGATAGGACTGGGACCATTACTGAGAGAAAATAACATCAGTATTGTTTTAAACTTGAAACATGTAGATTTGATAATAATAATAGCCTGGTGACCACTTCAATAATCAAACTGTCAGCTTTAAAATACAGTGACTGCTGGACAAATGGGCAGTGACCCTAAGTGGCATGGAAAGGAAGAAGCAGGTAAAGGGGATGGATGGATGGATGGATGGATGGATGGATGGATGGATGGATGGATGGATGGATGGATGGATGGATGGATGGANGATGGATGGATGGATGGATGGATGGATGGATGGAACATAACATATTTTTCCAATATTTAGGTGCCACGTATAAAGTCAGTGGAAGAAAAAGTCTCCATAGTGACAAAGATGAGACAGATTTACATTTTAGCAGGTTGGTGCGTAAATAATATTTTGGAAATGGGTAGTGGTGCTTTTGTTTTGAAAAAGTGGGGCAGTCAGAAGCTTCTATTGAACAACAGCTTGCAGCTGAAAAAAAAAAAGCCAAGGAGATGGCAGGTGGTTCTGGCATCAATGGACTGCTTCCCTGAAATAATTTGTGGGGCAGGTGGCTGCCAGCGTTGGCACACTCAGTAGTGTTTTCTCCGTGGATATCCCATGGTGGGGTGCCATTCAACATCTTGATGGAGGGCAGCTCGCACCGCCCTGTCAAAAGACCAGGAAACAGCAGAACTGCACAAATCTTCTGGATTTTTAATTGTGCATTTATTTATTAATAAAAAGTCAGTTTTGGAGATGGTTTTTGCCTAAAATAAAACTGTCAGGAGTARTCTCCAAACGTTGAGGCACTGAGTCAAAGCTGCAAACAATGTTAATAAAAGAATCATGTTTTCTTCATATCTGAGTCACCGTTCTATTCAAATATGGTGAGATGAAACCACTGCTCTGAAACTGATGTTTTCCTGCAGATTGTTAAGGCACTTGCCAGGCAAATGTATATATAAATAAACCAGAAAATAAACCTATTGAAAACAAAATATGTTTCTGTAATAAAACAAAATCTCTATCGTAATTATTTTAACTAACACAATCATGACGCTTGTTATACTGTATGCTGCTAAGATGCATATTGTTATAAAAATCACAGATTTTTTTAACAACAGAACGCACAAAATTTTAATAGAAACCTGCACTCCTGCCCTATTAAATTCTAATGTAATAGGCTAAATGTCTGCCCTGGAACTATTAGTGTATAACATTTCTACTGCAGCATCAACAAATAACGTCACCACTTGTGTCAGTGCTGCCAGAATAAACCAATTAGGTTCATTGATCTRTTCAGGAACGTGACGACAGGAATACTTCACTGTTTATAAAACAGGAGGGGTTTAATTGGCTCTCTGCCACATTTTCAGTGTTTTTTTATTATTAATTATAGGAAAGCATTTACAATGACTATGGCCCATGGTCTGTTTAAAATAAAAGCAACAAGAACCAATAAAAAAACATTGTGAGGCTGTAAAGGTCTGTAAACTGGGGTATTGATGGGGGGTGTTAATATAGGCGCGCGTGCTTGTAATGTAAAAACCGAGCACAAAGAGCTGCCATCCTCAGCGCAAATAAAAGCGGTTTAATGAATTTCTTTGGTCACCTGATCCCCATCCTGTCTCCCTGGTAAAGAACAAACTACTTGTTTCCTGAAAGATCTCGGAGCACATGGCCGCAGAGCGAACGTGATGAGGTCTAACAGCACAAAGGATGCCAGAGACACAACCGGAGAGTAGTGCTGTTCCACGCGCGCGCTTTGACGTAGAAATCACGTTTATTGACAGTCTGTGACGCTGTAAAACAGGTTCTCCATCCTTTTTATTTTTTATTTTTTTAACGAATCGGTACCAACTGAAGCATGTGATCTGGAACCAGCACTCATCACGCAGGCCGACATGCATTGTTTTCTACCAGCAGAACCAGATGCGTCGTGCCGGGAAGCCACCATCCGCTGGCTGCTTCAGCTCAGGCACCATGCAGGGGATGAATGGGTGCAATAAATAAAAATAATAATAAAAATAAAAATCAAAAGGAGTCAGTGCACGGCACGGTTTGCCTCTTACCCTTGGAAGCATCCTTGTCTTCTTTAGGCTTCGCCACTTTGCCGCTCATAGATCCCAGTTTGGATGTATAATTCCCGATTTAGGTAAAATCGAAAGCCCCTTTATGAAATCCGTGTGAAGGGTCCCAGCTTCTGAGATAAGGGTTCTGTYAGGAGGAGAGATGTTCATCAGTCACATTTATTTAAATGCGAACAGCAGCCTCTGAACGAGGCACAACAAAGGACAATCAGCGGCTTCAGTTAATGAAAACATCCGACAAYAACACAAAGAGCCAACCTGAGAGCATCTCAACCCACCTTATCTCCTCCACGGTTTTTTGTTACATCAATGCACATTGATGAAGGGAAAACGCTCCCACCATGAATCCCGTAATGAACCCACCAAAAGAAAAAAGAAAAGAAAAAAGAAAAACAAGAAAAATCACGAGCTACTCTACTGTGACACAAGCAGGGGGGACACAAAGCAGCGAAATGGAGCCCTGTGTTTTCCCACAGGGTCTCCAGTCAGGTGCAGAGGGAGAGAAAGAGTCAAAAAACTGAATCAGGCTGACTAATAAATCCTGGAAGAAATGCCATCCAGCGCCGTTTGTGTCACCAGGCTCTTTTTTTTTTTTTCTGTCTATGAGGGATTCTTGTGCTCAGCAGCTGCAGGCAGGAATCAACAGGATCCACGCAGAGAGACGCGCTCCACCCGATTCACGCGCTGGACGCGGCTCTGCTGAGCTCAGTGTGAGAGCTGGTGTGGTGGGCTGGAAGCGAGCTGTCCCGTCCATAAATGCAGCCGAGGTGTCGACGCGGTGCAGACCTACAGCAGGGGGCTGTGCTGCATGGCGCGCACCATCTTTGCTGTTTTTTTTTTTTTTTTTCCAGCTCTTCTTCTGGAGCCTCAGCAGAGCGTTGCGTTGTTCCATTCACATCCAGGCTGCATTCCCCTGACACATTACCACAGGGGTTAACACTCCCTTCACTTTGTTAAAGGCAGAACTTATTATCTGCAGCTGTGGGTCTCTGAAGGGGGGAATGGAAGCAGAAATAGACGGCTAATGATGTTTTATTTAGACCTACTTGTTTGCAATTAAAAATGTAAATYGTGTATTGGACGTGTGTAAATTATTAATTCTGATGGTAAAATAAAGTCATGCATGCTGATGTCTCTACAGGTGTTGAACGGTTTTCTAGGACAGGGGTTCTTAACCTTTGTGACCTTGGGGCCCAATTTGTTGAACATAAAGTGACAGGAGGTCCAGTCACACATTACCAATGTACGGATCAAAAATGATAATTATTCTAAATCTTGGCTTAATTTTTTTATTATATTTACATCTTAACTAAACTAACATAACTAAATTAAGTACACTTACAGTTTAAAAGTAAAACTCCTGTCACATATAATCACAAGACATGATTATGACAAACATTTTTATATTGTAACCTGCCCATAACGATATATATATA